CGACGCGGCGTGGAGGGCACAATTTGTTCAATTTGACCGTTGTACGCCGCGTCGGTCACGATTTCGGCTCGACTTTCATTACCTACTCGCATGGTGGGAGGACTCCAGACTGGAATTGCCTGTCGGCGCCAGTTCATATGACACTTTTATGTTTATAAAAAAAATATTTTCCGTGAGATAACGTGTTAACCTACCCAATTTTAAAAAAAACCATGTAGGAAAAAATCTAGAAAAAATATCAAAAAGTTTTCATGTGCCATTTGCTCAATATGCCACTTCGGTCACGCCCTATACAGAGCACCGTATAGCTGGAGACCGATGGCGCTCTAGAAGCAGAAATATAATCGATGAATTTTTCGGTCATAATGACCGACGCGGCGTGGTGTGACAAGACACGTTTCGGTCAAAATGACCGACATAGCAGAGAACGTGTTAAAATTTGTTTCCGAGTTGAAAAACTATCAACGTTTCTAGGGACTGATAGAGGCGATATTTAATTAATTTTTCCTCCCATTTCGAGGGAGTTCCCAGGTAGAGGGTTCACATCAGTATCAGTAACAGATTGTCAGATTATCAGTCTTCTCGTGTAGTTTGTCTTTAAAGGTATCAATCAATCCCAGGCTGAGGGTTTACGTATCAGTATCAGTATCAGGCAATGTGAATCCCAGGTACAGGATTCAGGATTAAATTGCATCAGATCAGTTTCTCAGAAAAGCAGTTATCAGTAGCGAGGATCGGTGTGACTATAAGGGGAACCAGCTCGGACTCTGTAACAAATAGGAATACTTTCCCTCTTCCTATTGACGTCCCCTCTCTATTCATTTCGAAATGAGAGAAGAAGACAGCAAGTGTCATAACGATCTCATCCATTACAGAATCCCAGCCCAAGACCCTATACCCCATCTCAGTCATGGTTACATTAGGGGCTTCATCTCAGTCATAAAAAGTGTCTTTGGCGACAGGAGTCTCATTTGCATCATCTCTAATCATCAAATAATATTAGGATTTGTAAGTTTTGGCAAAATTTAAGCCAAACCTCAACGAATAGAATTCGATTTCTCATAGAAAAACATCAATTAGGTACTTCATTAAGTGAACGTAGCCTAGGGCCAAATAACAATTCATTAAGGTAATATATGGTCGATTACGAAAACTTCTGCCCCGTCGAACTTATTTTCTAACGACTACTAAAATTTACTTGGGAATAGTTTTCGGAAGTTGCTTACTTAATTAGAACGTGATTTTTCTTTTCGATTTTTGTTTGGGGTGATGGAAAATTTAAAGTGCTATTTCAAAATAAATGCCTTGTTTGGAAAGACTCTTCACCTAAATCGATTTACGTTTGCACATAATTGCTTTCTCAATTTTTTTTTTGTTGTTGGTTGGTTATTATTTCTAACAAAAGATTTTTTTTTTTTTTTCAGACGGGAAGCCACAAAGACACATTTATCTAGTGGAAGCTAATGAGGCCTTATTATCAGAATGACAATAAATCGAAGACAAGGGACGGCGATAAAGACGGAGAGAAAAATTAACTTTTTCTACAAACGTGTTAAAAATACAATTTTTAACACCGCCCCGAAGCATTAAAAATGTTACTTTATCGCACTAGTGCCATAAAGTCTTTATAGCACTAGTGTTAAAAGTGAAACATCAAATTTTCAGAGCGGACGTCAAAAAAAGTTTGTATTTTCAGTTATTTACATTGATAATAATGGTGAAATTTGAACAACTGAGGTAGCCCGATTGGCCGCCTCATCTATATTTTTCGAAGGATCGATGCAACTCTCTTTTTCTTCTGTATTTTGTTGCATTTTTAGCAAAAAGCATTCCTGACCACGACATACTTTCAAGAAACTGACAAGACATTTCGTTACCTGTAAAACAAGGTGCTGGTTGTATGGATTTTTTGACAAATGTCAAATTCAAGAATTTTATGTAGGAAAGATGCTTCCAACTTATTATTCATTTAAAAATCCAATTTGTTAGTGGTTCTGGCTTTTTATTGCCGTTTGTAGAAAAAATATTGTATGATATTTGTGTTAAAAGTATTTTTAAGGCACTTATGTGAATTGCAGAATTCGCTTCGCTCATTCTGCAAACTTTCACATGCGTGCCTTAAAAATGTACTTTTAACACTTATATCATAAATAACTATTATCATCTAAAAGCGATTTTTAGCACAGAAAATCTCTATATGTGGAGATCTTCTCGAAACTCCATAGATCTCCATGGATATTTTTGTATAAGTCATATTATTCTGTTAATCTAGTATTAAGGATGAAGGCGATTTGGATGAGTTCATCCAGGAAGCTACAACCATTTTGAACGAAGGCCAGTTCGACCTTAGATGGTGGAAGTATTCTTGACAAGAGAGGTCAAATGACGTCGCGGACTGTCGTTCTCCAGTTCTGGGGCTTCTACGGAACAAAAACACTTCAAGTTTCTACGGATTGGATGGAGCATCTCAGTGTTCAAAAGATAACGAAGAGCATAATTTTATCTACTGCTCAAAAATTGTACGATCCAATTGATTTTCATACTCCATTTGCCTTATATCCCAAGTTATTGCTTCAGAAGATTTGGGAGTTAAGTAAAGTTAGGCTGGGATACTGAAGTAGGAGATGAAGTTGGACTTAATTTTCTCAGGTGGTCGCGTGAACTTCCATACCTAGTACAGATGAAAATTCCTAGATGGTTTTTCAATATTGAAAATGCTGAGGGTTGCAGTCTGCATGTGTTCTGTGACGCCAGTAAAGAAGCACATGCTACAGCTATTTTTATACGATCAGAAACTGATGGAAAGGTTTTCGTATCCCTATTTCAAGCTGAGTCGGGAGTTGCTCCATAGAAGAAACCCGATATACCAAGACTAGGATTGTTAGCAGTCACGGTTGGTCCCACAAAACAGTGAAAGAACATTCATATTTTCAGAATATTCCCTCGAAGTACTTTTTGGAATGTTCTTTTAGAAATGTTTATTGAATATGCTAAGATTGTTTCGATTGAAATATTCATTTTTGGACGTTCTATTTATGTACAAGGAATGTTGCTTCTATGCACCTACCTGAAAGATTGTGCTAAGAACCTACTTTATATAAAATTATTTGAATATTGTCATACGAACATTATTATAATATTCCCTAAAAAATGTTCTTTCGGCTAATATCTCTATCAAGTATTTAAAATATACATACCAAGTTGTGCTGAGAAGTTTATGTAGGTAGGTAACCATGATAAGAATATTTTCATATTGTTCACCTAATTATCTGAAGTACCTACTAAAAAATCTTAATTGAACAATTATACAATAATGCTCAATCTAGAACCTACTAAAAATATCATAGGTATATTCTTTTTCTTTTGCTTTGTAGGACTTCCAAAAGAGGGAGCCACGCGCTATTAAAGATCTACATCTTACCTAGCGTTTGAATCTCCTTGGAACCTGTTTCTCTCAGTTGGCGTGCTCACCGCGACGAGAGCATAACAAACTTGAAGCCGGAGGTTTGGTTAAACACTTGTGTTTTCCAGAGAAGTTTTCCAACAACTCTCTCACTGCCTTCGATAAAAAAGGACTGAAAGGAGCATTATTTGGATGCGAAAAGTAACATTCCAAGTATATCCCTAGAATCAAACAAGAATCTTATGTCTAGGATGCATATTGAGAATAATATATGTAGATATATTCTAAGAATATTTCAAGCATATTGGTATAATATTCTTTTGAGAACATAACTAGAATGTCATAGAAACATTCTTTGAATGTGACAATATACATTTCAAGCATATTTTTAGAATCAAACAGGAATATTCTTTTCAGGATGTACTGAGAATCTCATAGGTATATTCTAAGAATATCCTAATGGATTTCACAGGAAGTTCTTGTGTATTGCAAACAGTATTTCTACAATCATTTCTCAGAACATTCTAAGGACATTCGCAATGGTTTTGGGAAACTCTCTAGCTTGTGTTCATTTTTAGATGAGTATGGTTTGATTAAGATCCGTACCAAGATAGCGGATCGTCCTGACGATGAGAATTTCTGTTTACCACTGATGTTCATTTCACGAGAACGCCGCTTTTGGCTTCTCGTTGTAGGAGGACTAATCGGACTATCAAATCAGTATTAGATAAATGCATTATTTGTAAAAGACATAAGGGAAGGAATGTAAACAGGATTTCAATTCAAATACCGATGGATAGGGTAAGATACGCAGCAGTATTCGAGATTGTAGCTGATCCTTTATACGGTGAAGACTGATGAGAAGGTGTGGATAGCTCTGTTCACTTGTGCCGTGTATACAGCGGTGCACTTGGAGATCGTATCTTCATTGTCCACTGAATCATTCATTTAATAATTGAGGCGTTTCATAGCTCGAAGAGGAAGATCGGAAACTATATGCTTTGATAAAGAAACTAATTTTGTTGGAGCCGAAAACGCTTTAAAGAATTTAGATTAGAATGAAAATCAAATCGCCTCCGCGCAAAGATATTTAAAAAATTGTTGGGTTATGTCTGACAATAATTTTGACAGTTGATATGTATTAAATTACTCCTTCAGTAAACACCCTATGCCATACCTTATGCTATATGTTAATATTAAGAAAGTGACTACGACTAATCATTACAATTGTGCTTATGCGTTCACTAAACCCGGCATTAGTCGTTGCGGTCTGATGTTTCATTATTTATTATGTTCTAGGTCCTTATACAATCGTTACGCCGCTGCGATTTTATAAACCATAGAGGCACGTGTCGGCTATTTAATCAATCCTCAAGATTAAATACATTCTGTTTCGCCGCTTCATTATGTTTAAGGTTTCCGTGTTTAAATTGGAGGCCCATATATTAGCCCTCAGTGTGCGCTTCAATCGAAAGAGGTCTTATATTTATTGAAATGATGCTTTTCGAATTTAATAGTGGGACATCAAAATGCCATTTTTATTGTCAATCTTTTTATTCTACTCCCATTCCTTGTAATAGGATGTTAAAACACGTACTTTATCGTGAAACCGTTTCCTTTTGCCAGTTTCGGCATTTTGCAATTTTGCAACAACATTGCATCTAGAACTCATTTACTTGGCCTCTACATGAAAAAAATTATTTGATTTTGCTAATTTATAAATCCAGGATTGCGTGTTCGGTATCGGTTAACATTTTCCACACGTGGTTCAACGGATATATCCTAATTTGTTTCGAGTAATTTCTCGATAAGGATGAACATTTTACATAAAACTTGACTGCAAAATGGGTCAAAACAATTCTAGTTGGACAAAAGGCCCTGCTAATTCCGTTTCCACTATTACGTGAGAAACACGTTACATTTAAATTTATTAAGAACCAAAATGGGGGTTCGCTTCTGATTGTTTTTAGAGGACTAGCCTTTAAGGGTTTTATAAGGTGATATTTTCAAAGTTAGAAAACTTTTTACCTAGATTTGTAAGCAAATTCTGTGGAATAGGTACGACATTAGACCTGCATTTCCAGTAATTCCAACGTTTCAACACCTAAAGCATTTCCAGTCATCATCAGTTTAAGTTTGATAACGACCGGAAATACTTTAAAATATGAATTTTACTCTCTATATACAAATGCAGCTATACTAACGTAAAATTAGTTGGAACAATTCCAAACCAGCATCCTTTGCGCAAAAGTATAAAACAAACCGCGAATAAAAGATTCTTCTGTTTTCCGTTCATCCACAAATACAAACGATAGAATCAACAAATATTTGCAATGAACTTTTACATAATTCCCTAGAAACATTTCAAAACAACCAAGAAAATATCAAAAGTGTGTGTGGAATTTAAATTAATTTCCAAATTAATCTTTGGTTCTAAACTATTTGAAATGGAATTCCGCTTACATCTGACAACCAAACGAACCGGATGACTGGTAAAAGCGTCTTGAATGTAAAAATCGTTGGCAGTGACTTGACATGCCCAGCTTCCATCGACAAATTCTAGCTTGGCCGCTGTGACCCATATGGAACAGTCGCCATTTTGCTGATTGGACGATATCCATTCGTATTTGTGTGGGTACATGCCCATTGGCTAAAAAAAAAAAACAAGCAGATTTATTTAAAGTTGTTAGGTGATAAATTGATGTACGATTATAATGAAAACACTATACTCTCAATCATTATCAAAGGCTTTTGTGAAAATGTTTGGCTACACCTGAGAGTCCGAATTTTAAGGGAAGAAAAACCGCATGACCGCGGGTGAAAAACGAGGGGACTTTATGAGGGTTTAATAAAGTAGATAAGGCAGCACCTTTAGCAAACAATTCAGGCCAGCAATTGCAAAAAAAAATATGGCGCTAAGATACTTATTGGTGCTTTAAATCAAGTAAATTAAGCATATTTATTTACGACTTATGTATAATGTAGGTATTATACTTGTGATTTTGGCAGTATAATGACATATGTTATTCCCCAGGGAATAATGACGAGTAGCGGGACTAATGGTTATTATTCCTCAAAAGAGTCAGTGTCAAAGGTGTAGTGCTTGTGAATTTGTATTGAGAATTGTGATGGATGAATTTTGTTCATTAAAAATCTCAAATAAATTAATTTGTCGTAAATAAAGTAGTTTACTACTCGCAATAATGGGTATTATTTCCTCGGAATGTTATTCCCTCGCCGCTAACGCGGCTCAGTTCGTAAATATTCCTCGGGAATAATAGCTATCATTATTGACTCGTAGTAGGTATAATCTACTATTATGGGCCTACTCAAAACAGGATTTATTTTTCTCTAGAATATTGTGGAAGCCCCTGAATACTACACGATTGTTTAGATTATTGTAGAACCTATTACGTTAATTTAATGTAGAGCTAATGGAAAATCTACAAAAGAATCTTTATTATTGTAAGAGCTGTATAATTTCATATAAAAGCGAGAAAAAAAACAAAACAAAAATATTCTAGAGACCATGCACTCTAGATTATTGTAGAAACCATAGATACTATTTGACGAATGTGTATCTAGATTATTTTAGAATGTAGCAACTGTAGAAGCTCATTAGAGTGAAAATCTTTTAGAAATTTTATAGAAGACTATCTAGATCGTTGTACAAGCTTTTTTATGTGTAAGAGATGAAATGTTCCTTGGATCTTGGAGTCATTCTCCATCCAAGCTACAATATACTCGAATCAATTAATAGGGACATTCACCATATTTGAATTTCATTGTTTTATTATTTTTAATCAGTTGTATTAACCAAAATACAAATACTCTTGCTTCCAATTGGGTTTAAAATGTCCTTATTTTTTCTAAAATAATTTTCAAAAATGCTGTTTTCATCCCATTTATTTAAACGTACTGGAATGGCGCCATTGTATGACGTATATACACATTCCGACCAATAAGAATCGTTCACAATAGCTCTGGCGCACATCTTATATGCTTTCCTTGTCTAAGCTCTGAAGAGTGACAATGATGAAACTCCTCATTCATTATTTGCATCTTGTTCGTTTAACTCTGGTCAACATACCCTTCTTGACGTTAGACAGTGCAACGTTGCCAAACTGAATGACGTGATTCCTTAATACTAAAATGACGTGGCATAAATCCTTTTTCAACACTAGAAAAACTGTTGTTCTACAACTAAACCAACTACCAATTAAAAAATTACATTAAATTTATAACTGTAGTCCAAAATATACAACAAAAAACTATATAATGCAAGGATAAAAACGAGGTTTCTTAGTAGCTGCCCAGGGTATTTGAAAAAAAGGGTCATATTCTGCAAATTGTGATGAAAGCATGAAATTTTGTGGAGATGTTTTCATATTGATTTTAAGCGATTTCACCCGCAGCACAGTCTGGTAAGACCCGTAGGATCCAAGATGGCGGCTTTTCTTTAGATAACTTAGAGAAAATATAGGCTTACGCGTTTTGATCTGATTTTAACGGTGTTGGTGTTATTTCTGAATAACTTTTGTGCAGCTATCCGTCTAGAAGATCTAGAATCTTCCCCCGCGTTTGTCACTTTTACTTTTGGACATCTTCCATCCAAGCTTGACTTTTTCTTGAGGCTTTTTTAGGAAACATCTCAATTTCAGTTTAAATTAAAGGAAGATTAGCTTCGCTGAGTTGGGACGGAGTTTTATAAGAAGACAAAAGTCGAAACCAACCCCGGCTTGAATTTTTCTTGAAATTTTTTACGGAAAAATCTGAATTTCAAAGAAAGACAAAGGCAAAATTTGCCGCCGAGTTAGAACAGAGTTTTATAAGAAGACAAAAGTCGAAACTATCTCTAGATTGAATTTTATAAATGGTTTTTAGGAAAAACCTCTTTTTTCACTACAGTACAGAGAGACTTTGACAAAAACACACGAACCGTCAAAGGTTAGACTGGTTTTGGGACCTGGTGCACCGTTTCTATTACCCCGTGTTTTTTTTGTCACTTAACTTTCTCGAAGCCGCTCGACGGTTTCCTCAGAGTGCCATCTGAGCTCAACGTACTATCGTTGTAAATAAAGGTTTCCAGACACCGTGTTAATACAACTTTGGCCCCTCGTACTTCAAAAAATCGAGTTTGAGACCTGCTCCCACATCATACAAACAAGTCAATTCTCAATTACTTTTTTCTGGAGGCTGCTGGTTCGCAAGTTTATTCCTTAAAGAACCAGCGGGGTGGTTTTGGCGGGACCTCCTCTCAGTACAACTGAGAAGTTGTACAAACACCCGTGGGAAACAAAAAGGGTTGTTGTTTCACCCCAAAAACAACTGGCATCCCAAACCGACTGCAGACAATCGACAAAAATGACGGACAGATACAGTCCAGACTTATACGGCGCCACTCTAGACGAGTTAGTCATGGTTCTAAGGCAAGGCCCAATTCCTGCGGCCGTATCAGAATCCGATTTTAACGAGCCTGATGTCCCGCTCGCCGCAACAAGCCTAAATCCGCCGGACGCAGCGGAGCTTAATTTTCTACGCTCGCTTTTTGCTGAACTTGAAGACTTTGAAGGCAAAAAGACGCCGAAGCTAAGAAAAGCTTATTGCGCGACACCTCCAACATCAGCATCATCAATGCAACATACTTTAAGATTATCAAGCAGGGCAAGTGTGGGGCCGTGCTATACAAACGCTAGAGGATGATGCATGTCACCCAGTAACTGGGGGTGGGTAAAAAAGGAAAACTCATGGTAGCCAATATGGTCTTCCTAATCAACAAAGATGGGCACCAGTTAATCGAAAAGTTGACTTCGTTAATCGTTAATTCGCTACTTGAAAAGTTAACTTCGATAATCGTTAATCGTTAAATTTTTGAGAATATAACGCACGTTGAAGTTATCCGTTAAAAGTTAATCATCGAAAAGTTATACTGATGCTTGAAGCTAATTATAAGTAATAGATAATTGAAATAGAATAGGCTGGGCTAGGGTATAGTATTTTTAATACCTATTTGGAAGTACTAGTCGTTTTAGTGATTTGTGATTGGTTGGTAATTTTTTGTTTCATCTGATTCATGATTACTTACACTCCTACACAGCTGAATGTGAATAAAACAAAAAGTATCCAGATCTAAAAAGCGGCACTATTTCCAATTTATAGGTACTTAGCTGATTTATTTACCATTCACCTCTGCAAGAAAAAGGAGCTTATAGAACAATGCAGACAACGCCACAGCCCAACGATAGGCCTCAGCTTACAGCCTACCTAAATAACAGAACTAAGGGCTTGCGCATCGATCTCACTGTACGGAATCGGGTTTGGAGTCATTCCAGAACAGTTCCAAACTGCGTAGTGTAGCGAACTGAGATATTTCTACACCTGCGCGAACTGTCCTGATTGACCTTGACACGCAATTCAAGCAAACAAAGTCATTTACGAACGTAACGGACTAAAGTTAACGGAAGTCCAATGTAACGGAAGTTAAGAAAACCGTTAATATTTTTCTAGGTTAACTTAAAAGCTAAATTTAAGCAATTTTTTTAACTTCGTTAATTAACGGATAACGGATTGACGGTTTTCTGCCCAGCTTTGCTAATCAAATATATGGAACGCCTGCAGGCAATTAGAAAAATGTGGCTGTAAATCGAGGTGCAATAATTCTTTGCGGTGTTC